AGCATTTGAAGGCGACCCGTCACCGGAGTTGAAGCGGCTGGTTCTAGGCATGTTGCATCCCGACCCACGAAAAAGGCTTAATCTTAGCGACGTGATGAATGCCACTTGGATCAAAGCTGGCCGGCCCTGGCATCTAAAAGCATTGCCTCAGCAACGGCAGTCACGCCCGCAACAGGCTGTGATGCCGTCTTCCGGAAAGCACGGTGAGTCCAGTAAGTTGAAGAGGCTTACGAGCAGGCAGCAGCTGCATTCTGTAGATGCGATCTAAACTCAGTGCAAACATTGCTTTGATAATGGAGGCCTGCAGACACCCTAGTTGAATGATGTTTTTGCTTTTAACTGCTGCAAATGACCAGAGGACTATCAGTCTGCAAGTGCAGCCCCAATCCAAGATGAGGGAAGGCTTCAAACACAGAGGGCAGATGGGCTTACAGCAGTCCGTTCTCCACTTTCAGAAGCCGGTGAAGGTAGAAAAGGGGGAGAGCAGCATGCCGGTAAATCTAATGCCCTTCATAAGATACAGCAATCAAAGCCCCGCAAATAAGTCAGAGGCTGGAGCTAAATATGTAAAAGCGTCAGCACGCGACTTCAAACGCTCTGCTTGGAGGCTGTAAACCAAGGCGATGCCGGCACCTTGGCAGCACTCCTCTTAGCTCGGAATGATGCTCGTGGTCTTTTACTTCCCATGCTTTTACGAGCCACGAGCCACGCTCTAGCCCCTCCTGGTGAAGAACAGTGGCCAATCAAATCAAACTCAACTCCTATGGAAGAATTTGTTAAAGGCAGCGATAATGCGAGCGATGTGGCGAAACCAGTAATTGTTCTAGGTTTGCACAGCTTCTGGAGACTGTGTTTTATGACATTCCCTTTGGCGTGTCCGTTCACTTAGCTCCGGCAAAATTGTTCTGCTCTGATATCCTTGAAGTTCACGCTAGTGTCAGTCAAAATAACTCTCGCAGTGGAACGAGAAATAGATTGATTCGACGCTTTAGGCGACGCCAGCAGGGAGAACCGACGCAGCACAAGCGTAAGGCCACGAAACGCCTTCAAGGGGAAAAGCGGCTTCGGACTAAAATACTACAATTCAATAAGGGCCGTCACTGCGGGAAAAGCAAAATTGCTGGAAGTTCACCACTTATGATCATCCTTGCAAATTGCTTTACTTGATGTTTTTGATAAACAAATAGCAAAAGGGCCCAGGAGGATTCCCGAGCAACTCGAGCAGTGTTGCAGGCAAGCATTTTGGTACGCCTCTCTCTCAGTGGTGTTTGGCACATGCCAGGACTACTTCGGCTCGCTGCTACTGCGGCACTTGGCACAGATTCAATCACTGACATCGCATGTCTTGGACTTCTTTTGACATAGACGCAGAAATCACCACCTGAAAACCTGATGAGCTCATTCTGTAGTGTGGGGAGGTTATAAAACTATGTCTTCGGCAGACAAATTCTTAGGGTTAGATCAGGTTGAAGAGCTCCTGGCTTGCAAAGAAAATCCCACAATATGCTTCGCCGTGAGTGCAGTGCTTCGACTGGGCATGTGGGTAGTCAAGCCAAGCAGCTCTTTCCGGATTCACCACCTAATTTGGATAAAAGAAAATATAGACTATTCGGCTTGGGTTCGGACTGTTGCCGTCGCCTACCGATACGTCCCATATCAAGGGGCTCTAGATCTCCACAGGTAGCCGATGTTTCTTCTGAAGAGAGATACAGATATAGATCTAGCACTATTTGGGTCTGCTACTGGCTAAAATTGTCACGGGTACACGGCACGGTGATGTAAGGCGGCTTAGCGTGTTATGAGCACTTCATGCGTCAACAGTTACAGCAAGTGAACCACTGAGCTCGGTAAGAATCAGCTGGTCCGCGTTTCACTGCTTGGGTCATAGAAAGGGCGTCAAGCCCTTCGCTCTAGATAAGCTTAATGCTATGGGCATTTTGTAAGCGGGATTAAGTTCGGTGCCATGATCCGCAGTGATTTCTACTGTAGCGAAGAGAATAAGCGTTGCTGGGGAACGCCAGGCATGGCACAGTAGCACGACTTTGAGTGCTGGTGCCACATTCTTGCCACAGAGCGCAAAACCTAAATATCATCTAATAGGCCACAGTGGCGGTCAATGGGCCTGCTGTAAGCCTTAAAACAAGGGAAGGCCTCACTGAAAAGCGGAAATCTTAGGTCAACTCAGACAAGGCAAGAGAGATATCACCTAAAACCAGGAAGGATTGTGCATGCGCAGGAGCATGAGGTTTCTGGAAAATAAGTGGAACTTCTTGCCTTCTCTTATGTCTTAGTCTCCAAAATTAAGGTCATGTTTTGTTGGTGATGCTAGGCTACTACTTTTTGGCTTTTACTGTCTGACCATTTTTTGGATAGAATTGATCGAGGAGGTGGGGGACACTGCCGACAAAGTAGTCTTTCTATTTGGCGCTGCAGAATGTGTACTTTCTCACTTTCCGTGGCATCACCTCAACGGCGCGTTACAATGCCAGTGCTGCATGGACTACGGCAACGGGTTCATAACAGCAATTACTGCATACAACTCTCTCAAGAAATGTGTAAATACTATTCCCATATGGTTTACCTGCTCCCCCACCCCGAATAGTGCCACAATACTATGTATTTTCACCCTTTGCGTCAGCTACTTGCAGACGCGGATGTGCATAGCTTGGCTGCAAGCTTCTCGTCATGGATGTCCGAACACCGCTGTTCAAGCATGCCTAGACTCTTGCCGAGACAGTAAGAGTCTGCCCGAATAGATGAGCATGGCTGTTTTTGGGAACGAATTGCAGTAGCCAGAGGCAATGTGGGTGGATCGGGATAGCATTCGGCCAAAGCTGCACTATCGGTCTTCACCCAGCATCCTTACCTCTTTTATTAAAATGGTGAGTTTTTGCATCTACATTAGGTTGCTGAGAAGTTGAAATGAACTTGCCAGAACTCCTGGATGCTTCGCACCTCAAGGCTTGACACATATGACAGCGGCATTTGTCTGTTCTTCGCTGTTGTAGGCCACAATTCAGATTACTTCAAGTGCACAAATTAATCTTTAGAGCTGAGGAATTTAGACAGGCATGGGTTTCCTCCTGCCGTAGGGCGCCACCCCGATGGACCGCCACGGGACAAGGAGAGTGACCCTGGATAAGAAGAGGGAAAAGGCCTCTTCAACCTTTGGCCTCCAACTCCCTTGAAGTTAATTTTTTCGAGTAAGAAATTCTGACGAGTTATTTGCTTTCTAGCCGTGAGTCTTGTTTCCTGCCAGAACGAGCACTTTTGTTTCTGGGCCCGTGTCTACAACGGCTGTAGTGGATCGATGGGTGCGTACTGGTTTCCTGATCTCTCAGAACAGTTGGACCTGCTGCAAAATTTAAATGCAGACTGACGTGTATTTTTTATTTGGAGCTGTAATTGCTTCTGATATCCAGTCTGTCGTGTACTTCAGTGGTGCGTCTCCTGTTGTACGTGTTAATGTGCGACGGTGTGTAGCCAAAGCACAATTTCGTGGAGCACTGTCCCCCTTCAATTTGTTTTGATGCTTTAACTCTACTTTAAGGCAAACTGCTTGTCGAATTAGTTTTTTTCCACCATTTTTCACGCTAGGACTGGACACAACAACTCCGCAACACTGACGGACAAGGGCATTTCTTGGAACTGCAGACCTCGCGATTTTTTATCCGAAGCGAATATCAGGGTTTTTCTCATGATTCAGTGCTGTCTTTAGCTAGAGCTTCTCGTTTCTTCATGCCACGACCCTGAAGAGATGAGGGCCTTGGTCCTATTAGCACTGTCCAAGGCCGTCTTGAGCGCGCTTGCTTCTCCAGTCACACCAGATCAAGAGACGACGACGCAATCTACCTCGTCTACTGAGCTAGAGGGTAATTAATGAGATACTTGGAAATGTGCATACCGAATAACAGCAATGATATCTACTGCATAACGGCGTGAAGCGCAAGCATTTCGAGCACCAGATCGCACCATAACTTTAGCCAGCGGCCAACAGGCATCGATCAATCCCGATCAAATGGATGTTTTGTGCTTATTTGATGTTGATCTGAATGGTCTTTTGCCGCAGTGCTGACCAATTTGAGCGTCGATGTACAATGTGGAAGCTTAGTGGTGGAACCAGGCGAAATTTTTGACGTTACAGCCCGTGTCAATGGAGACCTTTCTAGAGCACCTCTGGAACGTTCCTTGTGGCTTGGGCTTCAGTTTCTACCAGTTGGCGACGCTGATGCACAAGAACAATCAGCAAGGGCCTCTGAAGTTCTGTGGGAAGAACTGGAGGGGAACACAGCCTCCTGGTCTCTGAAGCTGGATGGAAAAGGAGAATACCGGGCACTCGTGCTTGGCCAATTCTATTGCAACGTAGAGGAACAGTCATTTAAGGAGGCAGATCGCCTGCCTTGCCTCCAACCCCTGCCTTTGCGAGAGGGAACTGAACTCCGGGTCAGGGTATCCCATGTCTCTGCTCGTCTGAAGCTCTCATGGGACAAGCCACAAACCATACGCGCGCTTTCATGTTTAAAAGATGCACCCCAGGGAGAGCTTCAAGTATCAGCTATCTCTCTGGACGGTTCTGAGTTTCTGCGTGACTTTAAGGGCACCGTGTACCTTGTGGCCATTGGCACCAATGAGGAAAGCAACTTTTCGCCACAGCCAGCGCTTGGAGGTCAAACAAGTGCGCCTCTGATAAACGGAGTTGCCACTTTTTCGAACCTCCAGCTGGTCAGGGAGGGAACATTCAGGCTTGTCGCCACTGCTGATGGCGCACAAGCTGCAGAGAGCGCTACAGTGATTGTCGCCCCTGCAGTTTCGCGGGTGATAAGGCGAGCTATTCGTACACGTGCACAACACCGCATCACTATACGCGCAGTATTTTCTTTTCTACATTCATGCTCTATGCTCACCACATGCTGTTCTATCGGCAATGCTTTGCCGTCATGTAGAAATCGCGACTGCTTCTGAGTCTGCTGCGAAGTAAATACCAGCTTGCCCTTTTCCGTATGGAGGCTCTCTTTTCGCCAGCTGAGTGCGTGGGACGATGCAGGTTCTGTGAGCAGCCTCCAGCAGTCATATTTGTTCCACAAACCGCTGCGATAAGAGTTGCGGTGGAAGTTCTACTTGCCAGTGGCGGGAGAGACACCAGCTTCGTAGGACTGATGCAGCTGCAGCTCCATGCAACCAATGGCGACGAAACGCTGCCACAAGATTTTTATGAAACGCAGTGTGACCGTGGTCTTTGCCTTTGGAGTGATTTGGTCCTTAGAAGCCCTCCAGGAAAGTACCACATAAAAGCTGCAGTGGCAGGGCAGGTTGCCCTTGGAGTACCAAGCACAAATGCAGAATACAGCAACGCCACTGTTCGCCCTGCAGTATCCGCCCCAATTGTCTTCAAAAAAAAAGTCAGATTTCCACAGATGAAGGGCACAAATGCAAATGAGGCCCTCGGTCAAGCTGAGTCGGAATCCGCTTCCTTGCTTTGGTAAAACTCATATTACATCAACTACAGTTTGACTACCACCCTCTGCATGACTAGTGATATGTGTTGACGTGAACTTAGCAAGAGTACGTAAACGACTTTTACCAAGCATTACTTCGCATCGGACAATGCTTTCTGTCTGTGGTAAAATTTGTGCGTAATCCCGTTAGGTTCGTTCAAACTGTTCCTCGGGCAGTCCGAGTAGGGCAGCCGTGGGATCTGGAGGTCGCTGTAGACCTCAAATCCTTGAACCTCACACAGAGCGTGCTTCACAAAGAACGCTTGAGACGGGAACGAGAAACACTAGGAAGGCGATCTGCGCTTGCCGGATGGAGCAGTTGGACAGAAGGTAGCAACTCATCCCGTTCACTCCGGAGCTGGCGAGACCGACACCGCTTCATCCCTCAGCACCGGAAAACTGAACCCCGCAACCCTAATGGTTTGCAGCACAAACTTCAAGTTTTCATAGCAGAATCGTGGCCCGAGGGCACGATCGTCCTCAGTGGAAAGGCAGAAGGAGTAACGAATGGGCAAGGACTGGCGACCATCAGTGGCCTAGCTTTGTGGCTGCAGGACCAAAGATCCACAAGTTTTCGCAAGCCCTCGTGGGTGAAGCTTCGTGTTGTTTGCACGAGCTGCAGCAGGGCCAACAAGGAATTTCGTACACAACTGGAAACGCCGAAGATATACCTTGACACAACTTCCGCCGTAGGCGTCTACAGTGACGCCGGAAAGGCCGCTTCAGCCCTCTTGAGGTGGCAGTCAGCAAAACTTCTTCATGGACCACTTACAAAAAGTGCTGCCCTCATACTTCCAGGTCATCCTGCACAACTATGCGTACAGCTGCTAGATAGGCCCTTTGCTGACGTGCTCATAAAAGCTGAGCATGAGCCAGGGCTTGTCCTCTTGGGTGAGAGCAGCATACGCGTTTCTCCGTATGCATGGCCTGTGTCTGCTTGCTGGAAATTTAAAGCTATGTCTTTCGAAGACCAAAGCGAAGTACATGAGAATGGTCACAAAGTCTACTTTCAGCTCATTAGCACCGATGTCTCCTACAGCAATTCTGCTCGGGTGCGCTGGAAGGGAATGGCTGCTTCTGACGGCTCTGTGAAGGTCATCGTCTTGCCGTCTCGCCCAACTCTCGGGCCAGTTGCTTTTCGCGATCTACTACGAAACCCAGATGTGAGTCGCGTTGCAATGCTGGATACCCAGCAAAGTGGAAGCCCAAAATGGATAGAACTACGTTCAGGCTTACTTCAGGAGCGAGTCCGACTCCCTATGGTTACGAAAGTAGCTAGATCTAGCAGGAAGACGCAGGCGCATACTGTTGCCGAGCAGTGGGCCGAAAACAAAGAACGCTTATTTCTACGGTGGCAATCTTCCGCTGTCGTGGTTGAACTTCTGCCGCCACAAACAAAAGTCGTACTAGAACTAAGACCATCTGCTCCACTTCGCTCTATGTTACAAATCACAGGCCAGTGTGTGGATACAGATGCTGGGAACATTCTTGTGGCCACGCTTAGCAGAACGATAGGCGCAGAAATATCTGGAGGGCAGTCTGCAAGTAAGAACCAAAACAGCTATGGAGAGCAGAAATCGCAGGAACTGAAGTTGCTGCTCGACTGGAGTCAGCTGAATCCATCAAGTGCTGGGCTGCTACGTCATCGCGTAGTTTGCGACTTCCGTGTGGCAAGCCATACGGAGCAGCAAGTGCAATTTCTCCCCAGGCCATCTGTGGACGTAATTATTAGTAAGTGCGGGCCGAGCTATTTGTGAACTTTTCCGCGTCGCAACAATTACTTTTGGGCTGCTCTTCCCTACTTAATTTTTGGTCGCTTCGTTTCCCAGCATGCATGCATAAATTCTGGTGTCTTCTGCAGTTCGGCAACAATGTGAGGAGGGCGAAGTCTTTACTTTCCAGCGTGGCTGCGAACCCTGTCCAGAAGGGTTCGAGTGCTCTCTCGGCACTGCAAAGCAGTGTAGGCCTGGCGAATTTAGTCCAAGAGGAAGCCTCACGTGCCAGGCCTTCATCCCGTAGGTTTTCGTTGGGTCATGTAGCTTCTGCAAACAAAGCTGTCCCTTCCCACGCTATCGGCCTACCGAACAACTCCGCAATCACAGAGTAGCCATGCCACGCATGCTGTGGATGCCGCTGTGGATGCCTCATTCTTTTCATGTATTCGGGCCACTAAATCGTTTTGGTGCTAGCGAACTGCTGCTCATTTTCGTACATTTTTTGGCTTTGTTTACTCTACGACAGTCACAGGGAAACGTCTCCAGTCGACAGATCAGAGCATGATCCCACGGAATGCCCAACAGGCATGTATCTCTTATTTGAGGACGGTTCTCCACAGTACCACGTTTGCCCTGCTGGTTTCTTTTGCCAAGGCGGCAAAAAAGAACCTTGTAGCTCAGGAACATACGCACCAGTCGGCAGTGGGCTTTGCTATTCCTGCCCCGAGGACGCAGTCTGCACTGACCCTGCAAAAAGGCCAGAACAGTGCCCACTTGGATGGCAGCGAAAAGGAGAAGAGCAAGTATGCACTCCATGCCCGCCAGGCAAAATGTGCAACGGCTGGAGCGGTATTGCTGCTAGGGAGTTCACGGACGTGCGTTGTCCTTTGGGCACTTACACGAAGGCGGAATACCCAGGTGTTTGTATTCCTTGCCCGCCTGGATTCCAGTGTCCGGACCCCATAGAAGCCCCGCAGCCGTGCCCTTCTGGAACAAGCTCCCTTGGGGGCAGTCGCACGTGTTCTGCAGCGCCTGCTGGACTTATAGTGGAGCTTGGCAAGGAGCACCTGCCCCCCCGGCCCTGTGATGACGGACTTATGCCCATTGAAGTAGACGGAAAGTGGTGGTGTGGCGTGGGATACGATGACACGAGCTTCGATTTTGAACAAAATAGCTCACCAATGCGCTCTTCTCCCGTTGCCAGCACTGACGTCACAAGGGCTCAATCCTTCCCGAACCTGTGTACAGCAAATCTAATGGATCATAAATCGTGCTTTTCTTCATACCTGCCGCCCAGTACGTGGTGCCCAGCCTATGGTTCAACTACTAAAAGCTGGCCTTCGGAATTGGCAAATGGGCCTTTCTATGGAAAAAGTGGAGGATTCTCGCAGTTCTTCGCATCGTGCGGGTACACACAAACAATCGACGACTCAACAACCCGAGTGAGAAACTGTGGCTTACGTCTTTAGTCCAGCTCAGTGTATGGGTACTCAAAGCCTTGCAAATCTTTGACGGGCGCTGTGCAAATCGCTATTTTAACACTTTCTACCTAACATTTGTGGCCCACTTTTAAACAGATTAAATGTCGCACGAAGGTGCTTAACCACCCGGCTTTGGGGACGCGGCTATCAAGTGAATTGATCTGCCAGATTGGCTAGTAAGCCGCTGCACATCGCACGACTGCTGACAGATCAAAAGGCGCCTTCGTGCAGGGCACCTTATGAGCTGCTAACGAATACTCCTCCACACGAATGACGCATATTTTCTAGCGGCATGAAGCACCTTTTGGGACTGGCATGTGCTATGCAGCCTCTGCGGCCCCCAAGAATGGCGCCCTATTAGACGTGGTTACTTTCAGCTTTCCTGGCAAGGAGGTGTCACAGGATGGACTGCGCAATATGACACTCCAAAGGAATATCCATGTTGGGAGGGCCACAAGTGCGAAGGGAAACACCACTGGCCTCGGCACTGCCTGCCAGGAACGTATTCAAATGCGGATGGGACAGACTGTATCAAGTGTCCAGCAGGATGGCCATGCCCCAATTCTCGCACAAACAGCGAACAACTGGTGATTCCATGCTGGCCTGGTCATTACTGCCCTGAAGGCTCTGCCAGCCCAACTGCAAAGCCTTGCCCAGCCGGGACGATAAATCATGAAAGTGGCTCGAAAGACATTTCAGCCTGCAAACCCTGCCCTGCTGGATGGCTCTGTGCGGAGAGGTCCTTCCATGCTGTAGGACGCCAGCCGTGCCCACCAGGACATTACTGTCCGGAAGGATCTAAGGAGGGCATTCCGTGTCCAGCTGGGACTTATTCGCCGTACCCAGGAGCCTCTGATAGAATGAAGGCCGACAGTGACTGCGTAGCATGCCTGGCGGGTTATTACTGCAAAGAAGGCAGTAGCTTCTTCGATATGCTCTCTCAGCCGTGTCCCAAAGGTACGTGTAAAAGTAACCAACCTTCGCGGGTGCAAGCAGTTGTCCGGCCTCATTAAGCTCGAAGAAACTTCCTTCTAAACCAATGTCTCCTGCTCTTCTATTATTCCATCTATATGTGAATGAGCAGCTGAGCATATGCGACATTTGTACTGCTGCTGCAGGCCGCGTATGCCCTGCGGGTACTGACTCGGAAAAAGGACCAAAATGCCCTCCTGGCTTCTACAGCTCTGTTGGAGCCCTTACAGATTCTTCGGAGTGCACTCCTTGTACGACGGCACAACTCCAGTCAGCAGATAAATTCTAAAATATACACAGGGTGCTTTTATTTCATCCCAGGTTGGGAATACCATGGAATATTCTTATGTTAGAGAAGGAAGCATTATTCTTTGCTGACCTGTTTTTTGATGGGTGTAAATTACCGTAGGCCCAGCTGGATATTACTGCGATTATGGGGATGAAAATAGCGCTCCTGAAGGAATCACTGGTCAATGCCCTTCTGGAACTATGTCTTTGAACACTGGGCTATATGGCGAGGCGCACGCAATACGCCCTATTCCAGCGGAAGCAGGTAGGGACTGGACAATGTATCGGCAAGTTTCAGCACTAAAGTCAGCCACATTTTTAGACTTAGCCTTTAAGGCTAGCAATACAGCAGCTTTTTCCTCCAGCAGTACGCATGGCAACGCCGTGAGCCATTCTGCTTAGCGTTTTAAAGGTTTACAAAGAAGCAAATCCATCGCCTCGCCATATCGCGCAGTGTTCAAAAACTTTGTTCCAGGAAGGCAGTGGCCAGTGGTTCCTTGAGTTTCAGGAGCAACGTGGGTTGTTTATGCATGCTGCAACGCAATAAAACGAAAATTCAGAAGGTTTAGATGAAGTTGCATCCGGTATTGCTGTGAGTCAGGTATGGATGCACAATGTGTTGCATGTGATCCCGGATATGAGTGCGCCGACGGTGTACGAGTCGCTTGCAAAAGAGGATTTTATTCTGATGGAAGCGCATCATGCCTGCCGTGCAAAGCTGGTCACTACTGCTCTGAGGAGGGAACCACTGAAGAACAAATGAACCAGCAGAAATGCCCAGCTGGCGTCTATTGCGATGCGGGAGTCGATTCTATCCCAACGTTGGCGAGCCATCCCTGTGCAGCGGGGAGTTACTGTCCTGAGGTATGCAATAAATCCACAATATTTCGCATTGGTCTTGAAGTAGCAGCATTCGGGGCCTTTGCTACCTCCCACTCGGCGGGTTTCCACTGACTACTCTTTTCGTAGTTTAACAGAAATTTGGGTAGTGGGGTCGCTTAGCGTGCTTGGAGTTCAAAAATTTCATACGCCACGGTACTTTCTAACGGCCGAAATGTTGCTAGACTTTTTCGTGCGCTTTCAGGGAGTATCAAGTCCAATAAAATGTGAAAAAGGAACCGTGAATCCGAAAACTGGCCAGGTCACATATATTCCAAAGGCACCCACATCTCAGATGCAGCTGGCAGAAAGGAATTCTAGAAGCTTCCTTAGGCTTGCCAAAATTTTCCTTGGCTCGATGTTCATACCGCTGCATATCTGCGTGCGCTGACTACATCAGGCAGACAAAACAGCTTGCGTGCCTGTCGCTGCCGGCCAGTATGCATCAATAGAAGGGCTGACGGAAGCTGAGGGATCCTGCTCAGTTGGATATTATTGTCCGGAGGGATCGACATCGGCAACAATGCATCACTGCCCGGCTGGAACGTACTCGTGAGTTATTTGCTAGCAGTCTGCCGTAAGTTCTGTAGCCTGCGAATCCCCCTTGTCTAGTTTGTTCTTTTTTTGCGAGTACAAGGGCACGTCAGCGCCACCTGCGAAGCATACTAAAGGTAAAGTAGCCGGTCAATACTCAATGCTCGGCACGTGCACTGTTGTAAAAAAACCGAACAATTTTTATGCTTACATGTGTTGTAGAGCTCAACCGGGGGCGGCGAGTGAAGAAGAATGTGACAAATGCCCACAGGGTGCGTAACTTTTCATGCATATGCATATAGTAGTGTACCTTGTTTCGGTGCATAGCATAGTCCTTAGCTCTCTGTTCATCAGATCGAAACCTTGTTATGGTGGCCACTTCAGGCTCCTACTGCCCAGAAAGTGGCAGTCCTCAAGAATGCCCAGAAGGCCAATACTGTGAACTAGGCTCCATTGCACCGAAGCCTTGTCCATCTGGAACCTTTAGCTCTGCAACGGGGAACTCAGCGCTCTATGATTGCACGGCTTGCCTGCCCGGATATTACTGCGAAGATGAAGGTGCACTGGCTCCCTCCTCTAGTGTAACACACTGCATTTGAAAAACCACTGTTGTTGTGTATAAAACACACTGTTGCAAACACACACAGGCAGCGAGAAATTATGCTGAATTTTTCTGCCACATTAAACGTAGGGAACCCGCACCCACTCCGCTCACAAAAGCACCCAGCTGCGGATGCTACTGTACAGGCCTCTCTTCACCAACCGGTCCTTGCGACGCGGGGTAAGCTCACGCTTTTTCGCTGCACATCCAACGCAGAGCCCATGAGCTGATATTTCCGATTCAATACATAAGGTGTACGCTTGCAAGTCGGCTCCTAAGCAGAAGGTGACTTAGTCCATATCTATCGACGCGCCTCCATTTTGGGAATTCACCACAGCCTTTTTCTCTGGCAAGGCCTTCTATCTGTATCTAGCATTAAATCTTCCCAGGTTGCTTGACTTTTATCCACCTTCAGAATCTAGTGGCCTGCGCTTGAGGAATTCAGGTATCTGTGCTATGAGGGGGCATCATCTCCACGCCCAACTGATGGAAAGACTGGGGAGCCGTGCACGGCCGGGGGCTACTGCGAAGAGGTCAGTTTCATGCTTGCTGTCCTCCGTGATTTCCTTCTATTTTCTTCGGTGCTTCTACTCTCACGTCCAGCGTGCCATTTTATGCGAATTGTGCTCTCATGTAGTGCCCTATCTTGTTTTGCACTTGCCGTTTACGAATTTAGGGGGCAACAACAAAGTCATACTGCCCTCCAGGGAAATACAATCCTTCTCCGGGAGCTTCATCGAAAGATGATTGTATAGATTGTCCTGCTGGACAGTATTGCACCGGAAGCCATTCTCCAGAGCCTGATGGACCGTGCGCACCGGGGGCATATTGTACAGGAGGCTCCGATACCTCCAGGTGAGTAAACTAGCCTCACTCTCTGTCACGTGTCAGTGGGAAATATCGCACTTATATGCTCGCCTTCTAGTTACAGTCTACATCTGCCTAGGGCTTGAAAGCCAAAGTGCAAAGCTCTCCGTTCTCTTCCCCGCAAGCAGTGTCAAAAAAGTGTGAGCGAAAAAGTTATATAGATCTCTGTGGTGAACCACAAGGTTTTGTGGTTCTGCCGGAGAAAAACATTGCGTTGTTCTAAGTCTCTCTGCAAAACTCCCCCTTTATTCTTTGCTATGACGAATTTCCGCAGACAAAATGTGGCGCGAAAGGGGTACTACGCCGCTGAAGGATCTTCTGAGGAGCTTCCATGCCCACCTGGAAGTTTTTCCCCACACGAGGGACTGGCTGAATGCTATCTTTGTGCTCCTGGGTGTGTTTTGTGCCATCTTCAAAACTTCAGTTCGAAGTGCTAGCTCACCACGGAGGTGTTACGGAAGGTAGTTTGATAAGAGCGACGAAAGATTAGAGCCCCTGCAGTTCCTCAAGGCCCCTACAGCTTGGCCAGAGGTGAAGCATCAGCGCCTCAGCAATACATCCGTCCGTTTGCTTTTGCAGATGGGTCACAAAAACCGAAGGCAGCACAGAATGTGATCCTTGCCCCACTGGGCACTACTGTCCAACAGAAGGAACATCTACTGAAGTGCCGTGTCCTCTAGGAACATCAAGGGAAACTGGATTTGGCTCGTCGATCAACAGTTGCTACCTGTGCCCCCCTTACAAGGCATGCACTTCTACAGGAAACACAGAGCTGATCCAAAACCTGCCCTATTGCGAAGCTGGATATTACTGCATCTACGGGTCTCCAGCTACACAGCCGTCAAAAGATGACGAAACTTACGACCCTAACAAGGCTGGTCCCTGCCCAGCAGGCTTTTACTGCGAAAGCCAACAGATCCTTACACCGTGCCCTAGAGGCAGCCTTGGTACTAATGAAATGCAGCAAAGTGCAACAGACTGCACCAAATGCCCCGCAGGTAGGCATCGAACTTGCTCACTGCATCTTGCAGTATTCAACAAAAGCATTTTCAACGGGTTTGTTGCCTCTTGAAGTTTTTCTTGCCGAATATGTTTTCCTATCTCTAACACAAATAGAGATCATGTGACTGGTTTGTGCCCGGTGTGCAGGCAAGGTGTGCCAAGACTTAGCAGGGTTAACGGCCACAGAATGTCCTGAAGGTTTCATTTGCCCAGAAGGAACAGCGACAGCTGAGCGCGTGGCAAATTTGTGTCCAGTTGGGAAATTCTGTCCTGCTGGCAGCACCGACGGGACGAACTGTGCCAAAGGCTCATTTGCGCCCACGAAAGGCATGTTAGAGTGTGTAAAATGCCCGGCAGGCTACCTGTGTGAGGATCCAAGTCTCGACCTCTCTCAGCAAGCCTGTCCAGAAGGATACTTCTGCCCCGCAGGTGGGCATTCGCCAGCAAC